GTTCTGTGTCTACTGAATCATAGGCTGTACTTAATTTCCAGACACTGCATCTGATTTTTGGCTTTGCTGTTAAATACTGTAAATAATGTGTAATATCACATGTTGCTCTTCATCTGAATTTTTACCATAGTTTAGAATAGAGGGCACAAGACATGAAGCAGAAAGCCACTCTGAAATCACAAAGACTGTAACTTTAGGTCGCTTTGGATAGTAATGTGCCAAATTAATGCTATATAAGAATCATTGCATTACTACTGCTTACTAGTAGGTAACAGGAAGAAATAAACGTGAGAACTTGCATTGTTTTCACTGTGGTTGCAAAAAAACTATTTATACTGTGAGGCTCTAAAAATCATTCAATTTTAGGGTAAATGTGAGATTAAAGTTAAGATCAGGCAGGCACTGTAAGACTGAAGAAAAACAATTTAAGTGAATGTAAGGTCCTCTATTGTAATGGAAAAATGACCGTGTGTGTACGTTTCACTGATGGATCTGAGAATGTCTCAAAAGTTCAGACAGTGCTCGAGGCTCGCTGTCTCATGTCGAGCAACATCAGACTGACGGTTTCTCACTCACACGCTGGGAAGAAGGATGGAGAGCAAATGGCACAATGATATGTTTATTGAGAGGCTTTGGATAATAGAAAAGGTGACGGCTGCTGCTGGAATGTCACAATAATTGACCAAAAAAACCCCCCCAAAAAAAAAAAAAAAAAAAAAGAAGAAAAAAAAGATCATAGACATCAACACCCTTATCTAGAGACACGCACGCACGCACAGTCATTCATACACAAACATTCTTCACCTCCACTCCAATCACTCCAGAGAGAGAGAGAAATCGTATCAATGCACAGGACAAGACGGTATCACAAGTTCTACGAGTTAATTTCTACATGAAAAAATTCACAGTTAACACATCGGTGAGGGAGATTTCTTTTTTAGGCACAGCAAAAGCAATAAGATCAACAACAACGAAATAATGATAAAAATAAAACATTCCACACATTTCAATAAAAACTCAGGGGGCCCAGGTGCACTGAATGTTTACAATGGATTTGAGGTGGGAAATGTCTTCGATTTGCAGCCTCCAGGGGCTCAATTGAAAGGTCGCTCTCACAACAAAGGAGAAAACAGTTTAGGGGTGTATGCAATAAAGGTTAAACGACACTAGAATGTGGCTTCTTTTAACTGGAATAGTACCAGAGTAAGGACTCAGTTCATCTGGTTTTACCCCCGTTTACATCTTTATATCACTGAATATACTGGTGTGAAAAAGTGCCTGCTTTCTGATTTTTTGGTATGTTCATCACACTTAAATGTTTCAGATCATCAAACAAAATGAAATATTAGACCAAGATAATAATAATAATAATGTATACTTTATTGATCTCCATGGGGAAATTCCTCTCTGCATTTAACCCGTTCACCCAGTGAAGCAGTGGGCAGGCATTGGGCGCTCGGGAAGCAGCGTGTAGGGACAGTACCTTGCTCAGGATAGCCGTTCAGTGGATTTGAATCCTCAATCTTCCAATCATGGGGCCACCAATCTACCTACTGAGCTATCCCTGCCCCCCCAAGATGATACAAGTAAACACAAAATGCAGTTTCTAAATGAAGGTGTTTATTATTAATATTATTAAGGGGGAAAAAATCCAAACCTACATGGTCCTGTGTGAAAAAGTGATTGCCCCACCTTGTTAAATCACAATTTAGCTGTAATTAACCACGTTTTACAAAGTTGAGTGTAGTTTCACTGCTAGACTAAGGCTTATTTACTGCCAGACCTGGTGAATCAAGAAATCCCTTAGATAGAACCTGCCTGACAAATGGTGAGAGCCATTATCCACACCTGGAGAAAACCTGGAACTGGGGTGGATTTCCCAGGAGTGGCCAGCCGACCACAGTTACCCCATCCAGGAGGTCACAAAAGAACCCGGAACAAGAACCAAAGAACTGCAGACCTCACTTGCCTCAGTTAAAGTCAGTGGTCATGACTCCACCATAAGAAAGAGACTGGGTCTGCATAGAGTTCCAAGACGAAAACCACTCCTGAGGAAAAGGAACATAAACTTGGGTTCTGCAGCAGGACAATGATCCAAAACACACCAGCTCCACCTCTGAATAGCTTAAGAAAGACAAAATGAAAACTTCATTGTGGCCCAGTCAAAGCCCTGACTGAATCCGATTGAGATGCTGCGGCCTGACCTTAAAAAAGCAGTTTGTGCTTGAACAACAAATGTTCTGCAAAGATTCATCAAAATTCAAAATTCCTCCACAGCGTGAAATACTCATTACCAGTTATCGCAAACGTTTGACTGTAGATTGTTGCTGCTAAGGGTTATTATGTTTAGGGGGCAATCACTTTTTCACACAGGGCCATGTAGGTTTGGAATTTTTTCCCTTTAATAATAAAACAATTTCATTAGGAAACTGCATTTTGTGTTTACTTGTGTTAACTTTGTCTAATATTTAAATTTGTTGGATTATCTAAAACATTTAAGTGTGACAAACATAAAAAAAAACATTGGAAATCAGCAAGGGAAAAAACACTTTTTCACACCAGTGCAAATATACACATTTAAGATTTTGCAGAACTTGGGACTGGAACATTTAATATAAATGTGATCCCAGGTTGTTCAGAGGAATGGCTATTTTTAATCTACAAATGTCTTCACTGGTCTCCAACGCTTTGAAACGATCATATACGAGTAAATAACACACAGATAATATCACAGACAGTTACTGGAGCTGTTGTTCTTTTTCTATATTTGCAAATCGAGTTCAGAAAGTTCACCGTGTTGTCGTGTCTGTGTAGAATGCTTCAGGAGGACGCTAAATACCGTATATAACCGGGTAAATCAGTGATAATTTAGCAGTCACTTCTGCACGTCGACACGATAAGCACACTGAGACAGATCCGTGCCCGTTTCCTCCTTTCGTCTTTGGAAAACCTTGTGCTCAGATAGAAGGGAGAGTCTGTGACATTCCCCCACTCGCCCTTTCCAGCTAAAATACATCTACTGTAGCAGCTGAGAAAAACACGGTAGCTCTTTGACAGGATGTATGTCATATTGTAGCCTTGAATTCTTTCAATAAGCGCCACTGAGTGGATAGGCTGGTGTTTTTATTTGTGTGAACGGAAGCATGTGCATTTTATATTTATATATCTATATGTAGAGAGATATATAGATGTATAGATATGCACTAGGTTTGGCTGTTTGTTATTTAATCAGTACCTTACAGTGGCCAAGGGCAACCACACAGTCAAACAAAGGAAGCACTGAGGCAATAAACTGTTTTCAAGCAGCCTGAAAAACAATACAACACTCAAAAGACTGAGCAATATTGCTGGTATTTAGAGTCAGCTCACAAACAATTGCTAATCTAGAAAAAAAAACCCTTTGATGTTTGCTTTAAAATTATATTTTAATTTCTAATCAGAATAAGCCTCTCTTATGGGATGTAAACTTTGATGACTTGTCTTGGAGTTATGATGCCTTCACATCATATCAGAGTCCGTGTCACACCCTGATAGTTATAATAACTACGACCGGGAGGCGTTCCTTTTATTTTTTCTGTCATTTTTTCATCCCCTCAAAATTTTTCTCCCACAATTCAGCGTATTTGACTTGGCACCGGATAATAATAGATACTGAATACCTGGAAGCCAGATGAATACAGATGGCTTCCTCATCTCAGCCAAATGTATCAGTCAAAACTAATAAATTCCAAATGTAACGGCTTCAGTATTATACCGTCAGTATTTGTGATGCTCATAGGGCCGACTGCCACGAGATTGTGAATCCTCGCAAAGTCCTGGGAATCTTAAAGAGGGTTTTTTTTTAGCATAATGCCTCCCTTCAAAGTGCAGGTTCCTGCGCATTTTTGCAATCTTTGTCAACTCATATATTCAAATATTCATAAGATATTAGGCAGATATTTGGGTTGACACATCATTGGTAGATATATCACATGAACCAAAAAGCCCAACACACTTATGAATAACATAAACCAAAAATGACTTTATAAGATGACAAGGATGGGGCAAATACGCCTTTATTTTTCCCCTTGTAAATTTAGACTGTCGTCTGATTTAGCGGTGGCGGCAGCGGGTCAGTCTGTCCTACAAATTCTCTGAAGGACAATTTTTTCGTCTCTGAATTGAGACAAATACTTAAACTGCTTGACAAAACAGTGAGAATCACATTAAATTTAACCATTTAAGCAATGAGTGCCTTAAAGCTGATGCCTTTTTCCTTTATGCATTTTCTTCCATTACACTTTGTTCCTATTCTTCATGTCTGACACTGTGCCACTGGCTGAATTAGCTACCACAGTGATACTATTGCTTTACATGCGGCAGATCATAATGAATGCTGGCTTTATTCAAAGCAACAACGTACACATACACTACAGCGATGACTTGTGGTTAAGGATTTTAGCCAAAACTTAATTAATTTGAGATAACACTTTTCATCCCCACAGCTAAAACATGTTAATCACAGTGGAGATGGCATTAAGTGTGTCTTTGTATGTGTGTAAGAGTGTGTGAGCATGTTCCTGCATCACAGACAGACGTGTTTATTTGCTGTGCGCTTGTTTGGATAAGCCTATGCCTGGATGTACTGCTTCCAATGTTTCTGAGTGAGTGTCTGTGTGTGTGTGTCAGCTCAGCAGATGGAGTTTGATTCTCACTACTGGGAAATCTCAATCCCACAATGCACTGGGAGCGGCGCCAAATGAGGAAGAGGCAGTAGCAGCAGCAATGAGGAACCAATCACAGTTTGAATGCTGAAAAAATGTGCTTTCCCCTCTCTCGCATTCCTTCTCGTTGCAGTTCCTCCGGGGTTAGCCATTGTTGTGCTATCCATCAGCATGAATTGGGTCTATACATGAGTTAATTCTTAGCTTGTGTGCATAATACATGCACACGTATCACAGACACAGAAAAAAGCGATTAGCACAGATCACAAAGGAAAACGGTGACAAAATGAATTTGAGGTCTGTTCCCAAACCTTTTTTTTTTTCTCATTTTTTTTTGAGCAGACAACCAGAAACAGCTGGAAATTCCGCTTTAGAAATAACAGCATAAAAATTCACAGCAACTCAACCAAACGTTTCATCACTCTTGGGTCGAAGGGGAATCATTCCAAATTTAGGCTTACTTTTATCTGAAATATCTCCCTTTTTTAAAACTCTTCCCAAATCCCCCTAGCAGTCAAAAGGAACATCTTTTGTTGGGTTACTGCGCGCCGGAGAGAGGAAAGAGGAGACGATGATGGATTCTTAGCTTTTCAGCTAAATTCACGTCTGTAAAAACATCTACTCATGCAACTACAACCAGCAGTTAACATGATTCAATAGTAACCAATAAAAACAAAGTGCTCCCAGTAAAAGAGGCCGGATGGCAATACGATCTGAGAAATCGCAGTGATGTGTCAACGCAAACTGATGACATCACATTCCCTTGCCACAGCAAGGCAGGATCAGATCAGATCATTGTCGTAGTGTGTAAATGTGTGTGTACTGTATGTGCGCGTATGCTAGGGTTTGACCAATATGTTATTTTGTTGCCAAAATTAAGCTTTTGGATTATTTTACTGGAATTTTTTGTTGATGTGAAAAAGCTTCCAAGAGGAATTTAGTTATTGTGGGCCGGACTAATTGAAAAATCCAAGTAAGGTTTGTATCATAGCAGATGACTGATTCTCTGATACGCGATCAGGGAATCAAACTCATCATATCATTGGTGGGTGCCATTAACTGATATCTGACTAGATGGCGCCAACAGCAACTCTCTGCTATCCATGACAGCAAAATGACATATAGCTACAACCCTAAAGTGTGGTTGTGTGTGTGTGCAAATATGTTTGCTTGCTCACAGTGAAAAGCAAAAAAAGCATCTTCCATCCCCTGTAGCCCTTCTTTGGCAGGTCTGGAAAAAAGAAAATAAAAAATAAAACTAAAAAAAAACGCTAAAAGAAAGAGATCTTTGCTCTCTAAACAACCAATCACAGTCCAGCACTGGATTATGACACTTGTAACAAATTGCTAGCAACGCCCTGATGTGAAGTATGAAAAAAAAAAAGGGAGGAGAGAATGGCTGGCCGCCCTGAATATAGGGTCTTTTTTATCTGATGTTGTCAAATGGGTTTAGTCCTGTTGGTCATCCTTGTCTCATGCTAGTGAAGGTTCAGCAACTGGAGGCTGATTTCCCATAGGCTCACTTGCAGCTGGGGATCAAAGGTCAGCGGTGTTGTCATCTTTCTGCACCCATTGGCCCAGTAACCTCCTCCACAATCTCCCTCCAGAGCAGGTGACAGAGCAGCAGAGAGCACAGTGGTAGCGCCCTCTTCAGGAGTCTAGGGACAAACACATAAACACAATTAAAAATTTAAAGAGCTCCTGCATATAAAATACATAAAGAAAAGAACTGGAATGGAAGACAAGATCAACAACAACCTATCTTCACGTAGACAAAAAATGTGCCTAAGTGTGTGTGTGGACACGGATGAAAGAGTAGGGCTAATGTCACTGTGTGTTAGCATCACTGAAAGGAAGGCTCAGGGTAAGTGCATGTGTGTGTGTGTGTGTGTGTTTTCATGGATGAGCGTATGCTTGAGAGCGCTGGTGTTGATGCATTTTAACAATGATCTCAGTGTCAGCAGTGAGACCAGCAGCAGGTTTCTGAGCAGAGAGAGGATCACAACCTGAAAGCTTTAACAGCACACTTGCATACTCGTGTATAACAGTACGTGAGTGCTGTCTGTGATGTGTGTATGCTGTACTACTGTGCAATAATTTCAAACATCAATTTTAATTGTTCTTCTAAGTGAATTATCATTTTGCTTGAAGGGCTGAATTTTTAAGTACAAAAAAGGAGGGGGGGGGGGGTATTGGCAAGCAAAACGTGTTCTTCATAATTCATTTTGCTGTCTGTAGTTAAAAAGTCTCTCCATCCATGTAGGAGTTTTAGTACAGAAAGACAACAGCAACAACAAAACACCCAACTCTTTCTGTGATTGGGGAGGGGCAACGGTTTCCACGGCAGTTGGATGCTTGATGGTAGGGCCATTTTAAAGTATGCAGATGACACGGTCATTGTCAGTCTTTTACATACACGGAAAGGAAAACCAGCCATAAACAAGCTATTGAGCACTTTTTCAGGTGGTGTAAAAATTGTTATCTCCAGCTCAACATATTGAAAACCCAGAAAATAATTGCGGATTTCAGGAAAAATTCCAGCATATCTGATTCCACAAACATTAAGGGTCAAACCAAGGAATGTGTCCCTGCAAATATCTGGGGACTATTATTGATTCAAGCTTGAATTTTCACACAAACTGTGAAGCAGTGTCCAAAACACTTATATATATGTACATTTATATTAACCTGTAAATTTGCAATTTTTGTACGTATCTTTACATATACACTGTAATATTGCATATTCTGTATATATTATCACTGTGACAGTGTTGCAACTACTTGCACTTTAAATTCTGATTACACCACATCTACAAGCACTATTTTACTTACTTATTATTACTTTCTTTTAAGTTGGTTTTTAGTCTTTTTAGTTGTGTGAAGGGAACCTGCAAAGTAAGAATTTCATTACTCTGTGTAACCAATTGTGTTTTGCAGTGTACATGACAATAAACTTCTTGAACCTCAAATCTTGAAAAAGGGTAATCAAGGTCCTCCTTTCATATTGATAAGACCATTATGACAATATTTTTTTTTAAATCTTTTATTGAGTCAGTTTGATCTTTTTCCTTGGTGTCATGGTGACCTGTCTTTGAAGGACAGGAACAAACTGAGTCAAACTGTAAACTGGTCAGGGCAGCTGATTGGTAAATTGCAGCTTAGCCTAGAGTCGATGTATACCAGACAGTTGCAGAGGATGGCCAGCTCTTAAATGATGATTCCCATCCCCTGCGGGATTTTCATCTTTTCCAGAGGGAAAAAGCTGAAAAGCTATTGCAAATTGTGCACTTAATTTGAATGTATTCATTAATTTATTACATTTTTTTGGCCTTTTTATAGTATTTATTAGTTTGGGGGTTTGAAGCTGTGGTTTTATTGAAGCCTGGAGAATGCTCTCTTTCCCTCTGTATATGTAGCCAGTGTCTGTGTTTGATGTCTGGTTGATGGGTTGCCTGCTCTTTTAACTGCAAAAGAAATCTACCTAAGGGCATCAATAAAGGAACCTGAACCTTCTCATACTAGCTCATCTATTGCTTTGTTGTTCACCACTTCACTGCTTTACTCTCATGGATGCCGCATTTTTGTTGCTATTATTACTTCCTCTGGATATTGATTGTGCCGCACTCTCAGAAATTGTACTAGGTTCATTGACTTTCAATATGGGAAATGGGAAATAGGAACAGCAATTTACTGAAAGATGGAAATACAGTATAAAATGCAAAAACAGACTTTGCACAATTCTAATGAACTCAAAAGTCAGTATTTGCAAACTCTATCTTCATTCTTAAATATACAACTGAATTTTTTGTGAATATGCCAAGTATTCGTTAATAGTCTATCTACCAGAATTCTGAAAAGAAAATCAGAATTCTGAGATTAAAGTCAGAATCACTCTGCGCTCTTCATTTAACAACCTGCTTCTACGTATTTTCCCGATGTGGCACCATTACACCCAATCTTAGGGCAAAATCCAACTTTAATCCCCGAGTTTAAAATAAAAAGGTGTTGTAAAAGGTAAAATAAATGTGTGTGTGATAATTTATAATTACATGGACTATTTCACATGATAATAAGTTGGCATACTGTATGTGGGGCAAAACTATTCCAAAGGTTGTGCTCACAGGCAAATGTGACGACTGCGGCTTGGGGCTCAAACATGCACACACATCTTCTTCCATTAAATCTCAGGGACATTAACAGCAGCCTGGGGTCAGTGCTTTAAGTTATGCAAAGAAGGCTTTAAAATGTAACACAAAGTGAAGGGGCTGGAGTTTTAGTAGCACTTCCATTTTCAGCAGGGTGGATGGACTGTGTGTGTGTGTGTCTGTAGAGTGCCCACAGTCAAGTTTGTAGGTTCACATCTAACAGTTTTAACTTTTAGAGATTTCCAGTTCCAAAACCTCACAACGCAGAATAAACTGCAACTCAAGAGTTGAGGAAACACTTAAATTATCCAGGGTTGCTATGTTGTTGTTACAAGCTATTCTTCTAACAATAAAATAATTTGAAGCTCAATTACTGCGATCATTCTGTGATACAGTGTGAACAGTATAAAATGCATTTACTTTAAGCACATGTCAACTATATTTGATCTGAACCGTACAGAAAATGCAGAGCCGTGTTTTACCCTGAAGAGCAGGCGAGCGATGACACTTTGTGCCAGATGGAGGGGTGTCCAGAGGTGGCGGTAGAGTGCGGTATCCACCATGCCGGGATCCACGGCACACGAACTCACTTGGAAACCTCCACTCTGCATCTCTTGGTGGAGGTGGAAACTGAATAACACCTGGGCCAGCTTGCTCTGACAGTAAGCAGCATGTGAGGAGTAAGATTGGCTGAATACAGACAGAGCAAGAAAGAATGTCAATTATTATCCTCCCTATGAAAAAGTAAGAAACTTTTAACACAGCTTTTCCAAAAATCTGATTAAATTATATTAATTCACTTTGCTAACAAACTAAATTCCTCAAAAAAAAAAAAGGAATAAAATATTAATAATTCTGTCCTCAACTATATAATGTGTGTAGTATGATAGAAGCTTAAAATTATTATTTAAATAACACAATATATTTATAATGTCCCCGAAACTTAACAAGGGTATTATAAATGTTATGCTAGGCTTTTGGACTAAAAGAAGTCTGTACTGAGTTAAATCAGCATTTGAGTTTAAGACCTTGGATATTAAACACCAATATATCTATGTAACGACATGATGACGATATTCAGGCTGTTAATACATCTTGACAGCAGTGTTGAGAGCTGGAGCGATACTGAGCCAACTGGAACCAACAGTTGTCCACTTGTGCCAAACTGAGATGTGTAATACTGATCTCAGCATAAAGAAGGCAGGTGAACACAATACACAAGGATGTGAACCGCTCTTCTTAAAGAATATCGAAGGGCTGACTTTATCTTTTTTAATAAAGCGCTTAATGTGAATGTCACACATCATTAAATATGTTTGTGGCTCAATAGTAAATGGCTGATAACCACCAAACACTAAAGTGAAAAATTAATGACCACTGTGACAATAGCAATTACATGAAATGACTCAGTTTGCATCTGAAGCAAGCATTTTTAAAGTCTATATATCATTTTAACTATTTATTAGTTTATTATTTGTTATTAACTTCAGGTATTGTGTGCATCAGATGCATGTCTTTGGACATTTGTGTTTGTGTGTACCTACCGGCTATTCAGGTCATTTAGTCTGATCTGTCCGATGCAGTGAGCTGAGGATGAGACGTTGACCACACGAGAGACATGACCTGATTTCCCAGAATCCTTCAGTGTATCCAGGAGTAGCCAGGTCAAAAGGAAGTGTCCCAGGTAGTTCACACCGAAGTGCTGCTCAAATCCATCCTCCGTACGCCCCTCAGGAACCAGCATAACACCCGCTTGACACACACATCCACACACAAATATTTGATACACAAAAAAATGCATTTTAGTATTTCAAATGTGAATTTAATTCAAATGCTACAAGACTAATTTAACATTTTACATAAAAAAGTAATAGAGATAAAACACAAAAAACGCAAAGGTTAAAGTGAAACCCATACATCAGTCAGTAATTTCTGATAGGCAACAATAGGCAAGCAGCTTGGTGTGAAAAAATCAACTGTGGGAGCAATCATCAGAAAATGGAAGACATACAAGACCACTGATAATCTCCCACGATCTGGGGCTCCACGCAAGATCTCATCCCGTGGGGTCAAAATGATCATGAGAACGGTGAGCAAAGATCCCAGAACCACACGGGGGGACCTGGTGAATGACCTGCAGAGAGCTGGGACCAAAGTAACAAAGGTCACCATCAGTAACACACTACAACGGCAGGGAATCAAATCCCGCAGTGCCAGACGTGTTCCACTGCTGAAGCCAGTGCATGTCCAGGCCCGTCTGAAGTTTGCCAGAGAGCACATGGATGATACAGCAGAGGATTGGGAGAATGTCATGTGGTCAGATGAAACCAAAGTAGAACTTTTTGGTATAAACTCAACTCGTCGTGTTTGGAGGAAGAAGAATACTGAGTTGCATCCCAAGAACACCATACCTACTGTGAAGCATGGGGGTGGAAACATCATGCTATGGGGCTGTTTTTCTGCCAAGGGGACAGGACGACTGATCCGTGTTAAGGACAGAATGAATGGGGCCATGTATCGTGAGATTTTGAGCCAAAACCTCCTTCCATCAGTGAGAACTTTGAAGATGAAACGAGGCTGGGTCTTCCAACATGACAATGATCCAAAACACACCGCCCGGGCAACAAAGGAGTGGCTCCGTAAGAAGCATTTGAAAGTCCTGGAGTGGCCTAGCCAGTCTCCAGACCTCAACCCCATAGAAAATCTGTGGCGGGAGTTGAAAGTCCGTGTTGCTCGGCGACAGCCCCAAAACATCACTGCTCTCGAGAAGATCTGCATGGAGGAATGGGCCAAAATACCAGCTACTGTGTGTGCAAACCTGGTAAAGACCTATAGTAAACGTTTGACCTCTGTTATTGCCAACAAAGGTTATGTTACAAAGTATTGAGTTGTATTTTTGTTATTGACCAAATACTTATTTTCCACCCTAATTTACGAATAAATTCTTTACAAATCCTACCATGTGGATTCATGGATTTTTTTTTTCACATTCTGTCTCTCACAGTTGAAGTGTACCTCTGGTGCAAATTACTGACCTCTGTCATCATTTTAAGTGGGGGAACTTGCACAATCGGTGGCTGACTAAATACTTTTTTGCCCCACTGTATACAGTATCCAAGGACGCGTGCAGAACATTTCACAGTGTGACTGGATCTGTGTTTAATTCTCAAACTCCCTTTAAATTCAGCCAGACGACTGCATTGAAATTACACAGCTGCGCAGAGGCTTTCTACTTCTCTCAATAAATATTTGATAAACTTTGTGCAGAGTCCGGCTGCACGCTCATATAACACAAGGACAGAACACAAAGACTCACCATTATTGACCAAAATATTTAGCGGCAGGTCCCGTTCTCTGAAGCTCTGGGCGAACTGACGTACAGACTGCAATGAAGCCAAGTCCAGTTTCTTAAACTCCACTGCAATGGACACACACACACACACACACACATACATGCATCAGAGCCATTATAAATGGATTAATCCTCCACGACACTTTGCCGGTAAGACATCAAAGAGTGTATTAATCATCTTCTCCAGCGGGCTTGGTGGATTCCTACACTGCAACACTAACAGCACTTCCATTGCTCCATCACATTAACAAACCTAATACTCCCACCAGAACTCCATCAAAGCTCAGCACATTGTTATATCAGATCTAATATGTGATAAGACACAGGTAAGAGATCAGCTTCTCTCATCAAAACATGAAGGGGGACTGCTGGCTTTAGTAAGCTCAAGTGTCTGCACGCTCACAGAAACACTGATTTAAAAAAGCTTGACAAACCGAGCTTTCCTGGAATATATAAAATTTTAAGTAATAAAATAATAATAAAATTCTCAAATCTGTTCATCAAAAAGGGATATGTCATTCTGTTTGGGGGTTGATCAACGAGACCTACTTTTTCCACGGTCAAAGCTCTGTGGCTCCAAACACAAAGTTACCTCAGCATCCCTTATTAAATGGCCAGCCAGGTAACAAACCTGTGACATCACACCTTAACTAAACCACTGAGATACCCAAGGTGCGGCAGGGTTTATTGTAAAATAGTAACAGACTGGTGACAAATTAAAGGAACAAGAGCCCCTCCAATAAGAGCATCTTGTGGCTCTGCTATGCTGTGAGGGGTATTTTGCTTGCACAGTTTAGGTCCACTTGTCCTTTAGAGGGAAATCAATACAAATCTGTTCTGACTGATCACCTTTCTCCCATGCTGAAGCCTTCTATTCTGATGGGAGAAGGATCATTTTTTCCCAGGATGACAATATATTCCACGGGGTATTAAAGGTCATTGAACGTGTTGATTACGAAAAAAATGTCAAATGTATGATATGGCTGTGAAAGCCCACAGGTCTCAACCCAAGTGAGCACTATGCAGGAGAATTTGAAATATATTAGACAACATTTTCCACCACCATCAACATCAAAATGCCAAATGAGCTGTTTTGATCTGCACAGTAGCATGAAAATGTTCATCAAATATGCATTCAAGAAGCTCTTCAGGCTAAACAAGCCATTTAACTGCCCTGATTAAAAGTTCTACTGCTTTTTATTCTGCACTTGAACAGATATAATGAGGCATATATGACTGTCATGCAATGTATTAAATAGTGCAAAATCTCTGTATAGTAACACCTTTTTAATGGTGGGTAATATAGAAGTGACCCCTAGTGGTCACTTCCCTTGTTTATCGGGAACAGTTTTATGTTGTCTTTCCCAGTTTTTGTGGTGCTTCTGCTTCATTTAATGGTGCAAAAACAAAAAAAGTAAATAAACTTTCTTCTTTTTTACAGACTCTACATTTGTAGAATGACCTTCCCACTGCAGACACGACTGCTGACTCACTTCTAATCTTCAGCAGCAAATTGAAATCTCATTCCAGCAAGAAATGTTTTAAATTGTTCTTTAACCCTCTAACATCCTCTGTGTGCATTTCTCAGCACTTCGAGATGGGAAATATTCTTGAAAAGTAAACAATCCTGTTCTATTAAATGCTAAAACAGAAATCCTATTTTGGGTTCACTGGCTTAAAGCAACAGAGAAATGAGTTGATCACAGAAATGTGACACCCAAAATATACACAAAAACGAATACACTACTCTAATAGCAAAGTAATATACACTAGTGCTCCCATCACATTATTGTTTTTCTTACTCTGTGCAATCTGCAGACTCATAACTCTACATGGCTGAAATTGTTTTGCATTTTTTGTTGCCAGTGGAATCCATCATGTCTCTTTTTTTATCTTTGTGTCATTAATATTTAATAATGTAAATGTAAATTTTAAAAATGCAAAATTATCAGGAAATATGTCGTCCTTAGCAGGTCTTTATTTTAGGTAAATACCTAACCTTAACACATGGCATATTACTGTGTGTCATTCATTTGAACAAACTAAGCCAAAATGCAGAAGCAGTGTGTGGAAAAACTAAGTTAACCCCCTGATTCAAAAGCCTGCAGAACATCTTTAGCAGCAATAACTTAAGGTCACTGTTTTCTGGACTTTACAACGCTGTTTTATGTCATTGAGGTTTGCAGGCATTTATAAAGTTTTTAAGCTCCCACCATAGCAGACAGCAGATGAGCAAAATAGTAAAACATCTTCTTTCATTGAGGTGATCACATTTTCTGCTCATCAATTAATTAAGTGCATCTGATTAGAAGCGCCTGGCTGCTACTTACCTTCTTAATTTGGATGGAAACAGAATCGGGGTTAGATAATAAATAAATCATGACATGGTGTAACAGGCCGTCTTTTATACTTCATTTGAGGTTGTATTGATCTAATTTTAAGACTAGCTGAGGACAGATTGTGTTTTTATTATATCTTGAGATATATAAGATATATAAGCCTATGATTACAGTGAGAATTTGAAAGTAGAAGCTTACACATTCTGACAAGCAAGACTCAAGCTGCACGAAGCCTCGGGATTATTCACATGGTTTGGCCTTGCATTTTTTAATAGCACTGTCAAATTATATCCCTCAATTCAAAGTAAAGCCTTGTGCCTTTTAAATATCTATAAAATAATAGATTGTTTCCTTTAGAACTCAAGTAAGCCTCTAACGTCTCAAATATAATGGACAAAGACAAGAGGAGGACAGAGAGAACACAGGGAGGACGAGTTGATGGAACTGATAAAGAAAAGGGCTGCTGAGACAGATGAGAGTGCAGCTGTTCCTGATGAAGGTCTGATAGCAGTCTTATCTCCAAGCCACGCTACTCACCTCCTGCTGACTGTGTGTGTCTGAGAGAAAAAAAAGAAAGAAAGGAAGAGAAAATAATAAGAACAAACCCGGTGTGTGCAGCAGAGTGACCGCGAGCACAAATTTGACTTAGTAAGAGTGTGTGCTTATGTGCACCTGAAAACAGGTGCACGTGTTGCAGGAGAATTGTGTGTGCGTGTATGTCTGTGTGTGTGCCATGCCCGTCAGTCCTCTCTTGTCATCTTGAATGGGGCCTCTCGAGACTGAGCCCTTTCAGAAAACCCAGTCGTATTTAGAAAGCCCACTGGGAGTGAAATGCCATTGATCATGCGTGGGCCTGCACCCCAGGATTTTCTATAACACTCAGGCTCCTTGACTCAATCGCTCAACACTGTGATTGTATTTTATGTCTTGAAACACAACGCGATGAAAAACCTTTGGAGGAGTTGTACCGGATCTACTCACTGACTCATTCACTGTTTATCTTAAATAAGCTGCAACTTGTCAAATGTGGAGGAACCAAACTAAGTAAAGTGGTTTTAGTGAGATAATAAAGTGGTTAATTTTGTATTACTCCTGAATAGTAGATGACAAAGATAATAAATAAATCAAGAAAAGATGACATAAGTTTGTTTCTGAGCAAAAAGTCATGAAAATAACCATGAAAGTCCTCCATGAAGAGCGATTACCAAGGTTTGTGATTCTGCCTATAAAAAGCAAACACCTTACCTGGTTTAAATTCACTCTCTTTGCCCTTCAGGGATGTCTCCCTGTGCCGTTTCACTATCGACCTGTACTTGTGCAGAGAGCAAACATGACTTCTTTGTTGAAGTAAACTACAGCTGTGGGGGGGAAAAGTTTTCACATGACTCTATGTAATCATGTGAAAAACTAAGTTTACCCTTACTACTTCCATACTTGATTAACTGATCAACTGACCATAAGCTGAGTTTTGGCAGTTTGCTGGTCTGAAGTATTCAGCTCTGTCAAAACAATCTTTCAGTGAGTGGACCGACTATAAAGGCCTCAGTTAGTTTTTAAATGTTAAAGTTCATGACAATTGAAGTAAAAAAAGACTGAACAAGTGCAGCTTGTTTGGAAGAGTTCCCAGAACAAAGCCTCTTCTCTCTAAAAAGAACACGGCAGCACGGCTTAGGTTTGCAAGCTGGCAGCCGAAAAAACCCACAAGGCTCCTAAACAATGTCCTTTCGGCGGCATTGCCATAATACACAGCACCACGTCTGGCCAAAAACAAAGAGCATATGAGTTCCTGCTTGCTGGATTTGACTCCCAAATCTTAATCCTCTTCCTAAAAATGAAATTGAAGTTGGCAATTTTACACAGTGGAACAGAACATATATGGTAATCAAGTACAAGCAGTAAGATTGGGACATCCAGAGAGTTATTCAAATGTAGTAGGAGCAGCAGAAGTGGTCCACAGGTGGACATTGAAACGACCTTCAAGGTGACAACACTCTAATTTAAATTAGATGAAGTTGTACTTTTTATATGTGGAGGTACATTGTACATTACTATATTCTAAAATTTGAATATTTATTCAGTGCAGATAATCTGTATTTTATCTCTACATTTTCTGGCTTTGCATAACTTAGCCTCTTATCCGTTCCATTAATGTAATTTGCAATTTCAAAGTATGAAATTGTCCCTCATTTTAATCTTTTCTTTTGGATTAACTCACTAAAACTGCTGCTCTACAGTACTTCTATTTTCAGTTTAATGAGATTGCCTCAGTTATCTAAACAGACGTGCATGTGGCCATACAGCGAGCTGGTCATATAGCATGACACTGGTGCAGAATTGGTGCATGTGCATAATTAAAAACCAAAAAGTATTGAAAACAGTCAACTTTGCTATGAGAATAAGGTTGGAAGACGATGACAGGACTCAGTTCCAGTAAAAGCTGCCAAAGCTGACACAGGCAGGTCTAAAATAATTAGTAAAGTAATTTTAATGCTGATTTTAAATGTGACAAAATGCCTTAAATCACAATCTCAGACCTTTTTAAAATAAAGACATTTCCACATGTTACAGCAGGGAAAGCACAAGTGTAAATAAGTAAAAGATAATAATAACAGCCGACTTCTAGTTATTCACAGCCAAGAATTACTGTAACTTTAAAAAACACCATAAATAATTTATATCTGCATATGAAATAGTTCTGAAACAAGATGAAGGCATTACTTACAATTA